GCTGCTAACTTCGTTGGAGTCTGGCATGGATGGCCTCAACAAACAACTGGCGGACAAACCCAATGGAGTTACGGTGGCAGAGATGAAGCCAGTCTGGCAGGCCATCAAGGATTTCGGGAACCAGCTGGAAGGGCTCCTCAAGCCTTTGCGGGATGTCCTGAAAGACATCAGCTCCAAGCAGGAGAAAACAGCGACTGCAGCCGAGTCCACGCTGACGGAGCTTAAGCAAAGTTTCGGGTCTAAGGACCTCCAGCACGTTCTGGATGCCACTAAGGGGGCACTGGAGAAGCTACGTGGGGACTTTGACAGGCTGGAGCAGCTCACACGTGCAAAGAGCACGTCTATCTTTGAGGAAGTGGGCATGGTCAAAGGCCAAGCGAACAGCCTCCACACGACGTCGCATGGACTGCTCCGGAAGCTGGATAAAGTGTGTGAAGGCCAGGACACCAGGCTCGAAGGCATTGCGGGGGGCATTTCACAGTTGGGCAGTGCCTTTGCTCGGCTCCCAGCAGATGCGGGGGTCTTCCAGAGGATGGTGGATCAGCTGATGGCGCAGGCGGAGATGATCAAGGAGCAAGAGCAATCTCTGGCCAGCACTAAGGACCTCGTTGGGGAAGTCAGTGAGAAGATTCAAGAGCTCAGGGATAAGTACCATGAGCGGCTGCCCTACCGCCATCCCCCCCCGGAAGACAACAGGCCCCAGCCACGAGTGATCGACTTGCAAAGCCGCATCCCAATGAACAGGGGACCAGTTCTGTCGGCACCGACGGTCACGATGGGACCGGGTCTCGCCACTGTCACCTTCAGTGATGGGAGCCGAACAGCAGTTCGCGATGAGGAGCTTAGGCCTTTCTTCGGCTGATGCTTTGTAATTGTTGTGTGGTCTGATTGGTTTGGGGTCTTGCTGTATCTGTTGTGTTGCGGACTAAGATAGCCCTGAGCTCCTCTATCCCAATCTGCATGTACAAGTAGTCGACGCATGTATGATACTGACACCCGCGCATTAATTCATACACACAAGGCACTGAGCAAGGCTGCATGTGAGCACGACGACGAATTCGACGACTGCATGATCGCACGACGATGAATTTAAATGCATGACACACTGCATGTTGATGAATCCACGAATTTATGAATAGCCCTATGGGCCTGCAGCATGCCTCAGAATTTAGGAATAGCCACTTCTTGGCCCCCGACGTGTGGAGCACGTCGAGAACACTTGTGTTCATTGTATGCATGTAGAGAATAACTACTTTTGAGTGCCTTGACCAATTGCATGTGCAGTCATTTTCGAGGTGTCAGGCCCAATCATTTCCGAGGTGTCGGGCTCTATGGAGTGGATCGAATTCGTTGAAGTGGCACGAAGCAAAAGAAATGAGTGAGCGAGTGGGGTGTGTCTCGTTTGTAAGCCCTGGCATCATAGCATGTGGTAAGTGCATTGACAGTCCGCTCACTGCTGAACCAGAGTCGCAGTAGTAGATATCGGGTAATGGATTAGGAACGGCGTGCTTTGTTGCAGCAAATTACATGGTGCATACCTTGATGATGGATGGTGAACCTCCGGTGTGAGTGATGTGTTACGGGCAGCGCCCCCACGCCGTGGCATACACATAACCGAGGAATTGTCGCCCTGCTTTGCTTGCGTTGCCGCTGACACTGCACTAACCTTTGTTGCTGCCCCTACACCCCAGCCCGTCTGACAAACCACTAACCCGCCCGAACTCGCCGCCATGGTCTACGAATACAGTTGTTTGCTGGTCGTCCAAGAAGAAGCCTGGGATCTGAAGGGGGCACATCCATAGAAATGGCCTCATGTTTTCTCTGACAGCTTGTCTGGTTGCAGTTGGAGTCGCCTAGTACAGCGATGGTATTCTGCATCTGCCACGGGAATAGTGGATGAGGCCAATGGGATCAGTTGTAACGTCTTCGCGGATGGATTGACTGTTGACAACCCTGCTCATCAGACTGCACAACTGGGATCCACTCTAGCAAAGAACACAGTTTTTCTGCATGGGCAATGGATGGCGAGTGCCAGAACGAATTCATAAGCCTGGACACGATGGGACGCTGCCATTGGCACTGCATTGCATGTTGATGCACAAACTTGGTGGCAATGAATTGTGGAATTTGCAGCTGCATGAAACAACAATATCTGAATTCTGACTCTGCATGCGAGATGCTTGGCATGAAGGCGACGAATTTATAGCATGAAGGCGACGAATTTATTGCATGCAAAGCCTGCTAGGCTGAGGTGGCGAATTCACAGCAAGTGGTCATATGCCTGTCAATGACTTTGACGAGTACTCTCATGTTGGCTTTGACTGAAGCTCGGGAATTTGGACGAGGACACCTCAGCATGAGGACGACGAGTAACGAGTCGTCGACGGTACATGGCTGGACGTTGCAATACTGCATGACACGTTTCCCCCTGCTTTATTATATGTTACAGCACTACGAAGTGGATCACCCCGGTGAGAAGCAGATAGCTTAGAGTCGACAGTGAGGATATGTCCATAGCGCGTGGAAGAGGCGCGACTAAACCAACTACAGATTCCAGTGAGAATATTTTGAAACAGTAGACCCACTGGCTGCGTGGTCGGCAGAATGTGGTCGCAATTGACCGCTTCCTGCTTTGTGTCTGCGGTCTAGGCTGGGAACACCCTCTTGCCCAGTTCTCTGCTTTGATGTTTTGGATACTCTTGGTGGTTTCCTTACTGGGCATTTCGGGTTAGCCAGTCCTTGGACGAGCAGGTATGTACATGTAGCAAGCCCGGGACCTTCTTGCCATGCCTGCCTTGAGCGAGTGTGTGAGTCGAAAGCATGTTTTGCTGCGACTGCATGCGTGCCGGGCTAAAAAAAAAGCGGGGGGTCCGGAGGAGCGCAGCCTCTTGTTCCTGGCCCTTCCGAGCCTTCGAGACTGCGTCCCGCATTTGCTACGACTGCGTGCGTGCCGTGCTAAAAAAAAAACCGGGGGGTCCAGGGGGGCGCAGCCCCCCGGCGGTGGGGGGTTGGGGGAACCGCCCCCCCCAATTCTTCTTCGCCTTAAAGTTGCTGTATTCTTCACTTTTCACCTCAAACGATTTCGTGCGGCTTCTTTTTCTGTGTGCTTTTCGCAGACGAGATTGCGTCGTCTTTGATTTTGTTTGTTCCGTTTTGCATTCTACAGAACGCGCACGTCTGCCTTTTGTCCTTTTTGTCTGTCGGCATGAAGTTTCGCTTGTGATTAACTTGATGTCCTCGCTTTTAGCCACCGTAAAGCGGTTTCGTTTGGTTTGCTGTTTGGAATCTCTTCTTCCTCGCCCTGCCAAGCCTTCGCAACCAGCTCTAAATTCTAGGTTTTCTACATTTAGTCGCGCTTGTCCTTTTTCGGAAAAGGACAAGCTGCGACAAGGACAAGCAGCTGGAAACTTTACATTTCTACATTTGGTCGCGCTTGTCCTTTTCGGCAGAAGGCAAGCAGCTCTAAATTGTAGATTTCTCCTTTAGTCGTGCTTGTCCTTTTCGGAAAAGGACACGCTGCTCCAAATTCTGGTTTTTTGACGTTTAATGCTTTTCGGAAAAGGATAAGCAAAGGGGGGGGGTGCAGCCTTGCAATTTGCAAATCTTGCAAATCCTTCACGGTGGATTTTCCTTGTCCTTTATCCGTGTTTCGATTTTCCACATATGTCACGTGTCATTATATTTTCTTTCTCTCCTATTGGAGAAGACGTGGCTTTCTCCTTCTTGTGTGTTGGCGAACACGTTTTTTGTTCATTTGTTTGCAGTCTCACAGAGTGGGAAGTTTAGTCTAAGAAAAACGAGGGGATTGGGGGGGCGCAGCCTCCCCAATTTGAAACTTTCCAAATCCTTCGTGATCAACTGTATATTTCTTTCGCTTTTAACCCCCCTGAGGCGTTTTCGTGCGATTCTCTCCTTGTTGTTTCTTGGCGAACACGTTTAGACAGCGGACGGCCTAGCACGAACCGAAACCCACCCCCTCCCTGGAGTATGAACCCCTCCCCCTCCCTTCCACGGAGTATGACCCCCCCCCCTTCAATACTTCCGGAGCATGAACCCTGCCCCCCCCAGTTTCGCGTCCCTGTCAAAGCCTTTGCAATTTCATATCGATTCACACCGACTTTTCTATAATCGTTGAGGAATCTGTATGGGGTCGACTGCGTCGGATGTGCCTCTTGCTGTGAGCTGCATCGGATTAATTTGTTCAGAAGAGAAAGAATCATCTTGCCGACATGGAAAGTCTAGGCAAATACCTTTAAAGCATCTACAAATGTATGTTTTCAAGCCCCTGCGAGCGAGATCGTTCGCGTTTTTCTATGATCGTCGAGAGAATCTTCGTGTGTGTTGGTGAATACGTTTTTGTTCCTTTCTTCGTGGCTTCCGAGAACGGCAGGGCTGCCCCACGATTTGCACACCTTGCAAGGCATCCATGTTTGATTTTTTTTCTTCGCCAAAAATCCCCCTGAAGCGTTTCCGTTTGGCTTTTTACAGTGAGGAAGGGGAGGTATTCAAGCTTCGAGGCACGGGAACGGGGGCTTTGGAGGGCTCAAGTGACAAGGGTGGACAGGGCTGGACGGGGCTTTTGCGAGCGGCTTCCGGACAGGGCCTATGACAGGGGTCGACGGGGTCTATAACAGGGTCTATGACTGGGTGGACAGGGCCCATGACAGGGGTCCACATACCCTATGACAGGATCCATGACAGGGCGGGCCTGTGGCAGAGCCTGTGACAGGGGCTTGTGATAGGGGTGGACAGGACGCTTTGTAGGCCTGTGAGGGCCCCTGCACAGACCCTGTGCAGGGGGAGCATAGGCCCTGTCGACAGGGGTGCACAGACCCCATCGGTCTGTGGTAGCCTATGCCTCGGGGGTTCTTTGCCTGAAGCTCAGACTACAGTTGGAGTGGGGTGACAGGTTCCTCACCTAGAACGTTAGCAGCATGCTACCGGCAACGCACGCTAACGTCCATCTACATGTTGAATTTGGTGCGACTGGTGAAGTTCAGGCAGCTATCCGGTGCCCTTCATCAGCACTGACGAGGGCCCCAGCTGCTTGATCGCAGAGCTGTTGCTCACCCACGCTGCCGCTGCTCGTGCCCCTGTCCCATGTACTGACTGGTGCCGGTGCCAGTACTGGCACGCGCATTGTTTTTGATTGTGGCTGCTGCCAGTAGTAGGAGCAGGAGTGGGAGTAGAAATAGGTGGCGGCGGTGGTTGTGGTTGTCGTAGTAATCGTGTGCCGTATGCCCCTAATCTGAAACCGGGGTCCCCCACCAATAAACTCGGAAAGTGTTTTATTAACAGGGGCGAGGGGGTGTGACTATTGTCACCTGTAGTTTATTTTCATAACAATGACAATGGCAATCAACGATAAACCGGCCATTAGCAGCAGCAGTAGTAGTAGTAGTAGTAGTAGTAGTTGTAGTAGTAGTAGTAGTAGTAGTAGTAGTGTAGTAGTAGTAGTAGTAGTAGTAGTAATAATATTAGTAGTAGTATTAGTAGCAGTCGTCGTCGTAGCAGTAGTGGTAGTGGTAGTGGTAGCGGTAGCGGTAGCGGTAGCGGTAGCGGTAGTGGTAGTGGTAGTGGTAGGAGGAGGAGGAGGACTACTACTACTACTACTACTACTACTACTACTACTGCTACTACTACCACGGCACGACTACTACTACTACTACCACTACCACTACCACTACCACTACCACTACTACTACTACTACTACTACTACTACTATTACTACTACTCCTACCTCTGCCACCACTACTACTCCTCCTCCGCCTCCTTCTCCTGCTGCTGCTGCTGCTATGACTCTGACGACGACGACAACTACGACGACGACTACTACTACTGCTACTACTACTGCTACTGCTGCTGCTACTGCTACTAACGCTATTACTATTGCTACTACGGCCATTGCTAAGTATCCCAATATCAATAGTAAAAGGCAGACAAAAAGACAGAGAGAAGGGACCATGCTGTGGTCGAAGCTGGACCGTCAGGACGCTCCGCTCCGCACACGCATAGGATTTAAATAAAGGGCGGGGATGATTTCAGGCAGATTGGCCCCAAAGTGTGTTCATTAGTAGGGGAGTAATTTAATCTAGTGCCAACAGTAGTTTTGCTTTTGGTGTTAGTAATATGAGTATTGAACTAGACTCTTGGATCATGAGCATTTCCGGTAGCATGTGTTCTTGATCATATTCGTGTTCCACAGAGATGAGCATAAACAGAGACATAGGTTATGATACTGAGGTTGCCTCCCAGTTGTATGCTTAAGAACAAGCCCGGCTCAGCCGTGTGGCTTATATGCTCGTGCCTTCTGAATAGATCCAACACCGCCTCACATGCCCCAATCGGCCCTAACCGCAGAAACCGGAACTCTAAATCCCGATTCTGAACTGCAATAGTGGTCCTGAAATATCCCTGCGTGGCGCAGCCCAGGACAGTGAGGGAGACTGCCACTGTCCAAGATATCACCTTTGTAGCTACGAGAACGAGACGGGCTGTCCGGTAGCGGCTGGGCCAGCGCTTCACAGCCACCGCCGCCTGCCTGCAACAAGGGGTGAGACATGCATTTCCAGCCCACCACCCTCAGCCTCAACCCACAAGTTCGGTTGGGAAACAGGACTGTGGGATTTGCTTACCAGTATGTGTGCTTAGGCGGGGATGGACCTGCAGATGTTGCTTCCGGCCCGGTCTGGTTAGGGTGCACGAGGTAATTCCCCGTGCTGGAGACGGGAGGGGGGGGGGGTGAGCGGTGGTGGGAGCTTCGGGCCCAGACGAGCGCCCGATGATTCACAACGGTTCCAAGATCCTTTGATCCTAAGCCATAGAGGCCTCGCCTCGTGGGCGGATTATTCGGGGCCTTGCCTCGGCATAATCTCGCAGAGCCAGCCGGAATTCCCATGATTAGTCCGGGAAGGAGGTTAGTTATGGGCCTGTAGGGTTGTGAGGTGTATGGTCTCAGCGCCTTAGGGTCGCCGGGGAGAGAAGTGTCAGGTAAAAGTGAGTTCAGCTGCAGGTTGTTTTGCGTTGTGGAGATGTCTCCCTCGACCTACCAGTTTCAGACTTGTCAATTTCTGACTTCGTTTTGGGGTGTGAGTCTCTTTGTATTGTCCAGCTTCACGTCCCCGCCCCGAACCTGAAGCTTCGGAAGATGTCGTAAACCAAGACTTTAATTAAGGGTCATGTTTGGGGAATGAGGATGTTGTCAGGCGAGTGGTTTCGCAGACGCAGTCATGGATGGCTTGGGCTCCAGCCTCCTTGCGCAGCCTTGCGCCGCATCCTCTGCGACTGCGCGTGCTCGTTTCTAAGCATTGGCATTACCAATGACGAAGACTGTCATGAAGTCAGTGGAACATGTAGCTTTGCCGATCTATCGCTACAGCTTCCTTCTTAAGTCCTATGACCTTAGGACAACTTCCTTGGCAGGACATCATGCCTCAGTACTCCGGGCTTGGGACTGAAGCATATTGATCTCTTAGCAGCAACGGGTAGGTGCCCAAGTGAGCCTATAGCAGTTCAGTGTTCATCACTGCACCACCGTGGGTGCTGTGAAGAACGTGGAGACTTTGGGAAACTCGAATCCATGGCCATGGAAGGCCAAGGCCGTGACGGGAATGAAAGCCAGTCAATGCAAGACAAGCTCTTTTTCAACCGGTCTTCCTTGAAAGCTTGCTTGATCCGCAGCTTTCACTAGGCGGGTGGAGAAGATCTCGACAGGCCTCGAGAAGTCGCACCTCATGAAAAACAAGTATTGCAAGGCAACGAGGTGGGTGTTGAGGTTCTACAGGCTTCGTCTGCAAGGGTGAGAGAACACCTTGCCGGAGGCAAGCTATTCGGGAAACTTTGGCAGAAGTGGATCAGTGCGGTGATGACTGCCAGGAAGGAGCTTGGCCTGAAAGGCTTCTGCGCGGTAGGCACAAGGCGCACTATGCCAAGAGCAAAGCCCTTTATGCAGTGTGAGCGTGATGGGAGCCTCGCCATGAAACCCCGTCTGGATGATCCGACAGTGGCACAGCTCGCCGAGAAAGTTGTCCAGACCACGTTTGCCCAAGAACATCAGCAGCTCGGGTTGTTTCAGGAGTACTTCGTTCCTGGCGGTCCCGACGTTTCCCATGAGCCGGGATACGTACTGGTGGATCGAAAAGCGTGAAGGAGCAGTGAGTGGATCAGCTATAGCAAGCAACGGATGGTTCCGCTTGCCACTTCAGAGGACCTCAACGAATGAGTAGTGGATACTGGCAGTGTGACTGCGCCAAGACAAGTGCTGCCCTCGCGGTGTGGTGGTTGCATGTTCAAGGCCGATTCTGCTCACGGAGACCCACATAGCGATTCGGTAGTCGGGCCGGCGGTGAGACTTTCTACTTTAAGCAGGATGGCCACACGCTTCACTCGCTGGCCACTCGGTTCCAAGTTCCAAAGGAGCTCACGCAGCCCACGCCGAGTGGAAGCGATGAGGGGAGCGCTCTCCCGGTTGGAGTTTCTCTGACTGCACTCGAAAGGGAGCTTTGGCGTTGGACAGGTTCGTGTAGGCCAAAGATGAGCACGGTCACGGTCCCCTGACAAGAGCGGGCGAGGACTGCGACATGAAGGTAATCGAAAAAACTTTTGGGATGTTACCAAACTTCGGCCAGTACCACAACATTACTTCGCTTTTGCGGCAGTCCACGGAGCAGGCGGCTCCCATGCCATTCTCACAGCTGCTATGTATGTACAGCTGAACCTGAACCTTGTGCCTTTCAGGGTTGTAAGTGCGTCGTCGAGCTTATCTTTGGAGCGCGCGATGCGGCAGCAGATCTTCTTCCAGCAGGTTCAAAAGCTTAGCACCTGCAAGCCCATGGGTTTTTTCAACAGCTGTAGCTCCCCAAATCCTGGTTTCTGCAGGCCCAAGATGACGGCGAAGGGCTGCAACGGGGTTTAGGGCTAGTTCCCTCCGCTGCTCGTTTCTCGTGCCTGCCTTCCGTCTTCACAAACCCTTTTACCTTTGGCAGGAGACGTTGGTCAATCCTTCGGAACCTTTGTTTAACAGCCTATGCTCCAACCCCTTACACCGTCTCTTGAACCAAAAACCCTAAGCTTCATGAAAGCCTTGTAAAAATGCTTGCAAGCCCGTTGTCGTTGTAGACCGCCGTGCTTTGCCAACTCCGTCCTGCCAGGTTACTTCGACGTCAACTGCACCGGCTGTGAGTGTATTCCAGATTCTTAAGTTGTAGAGGGCACACCAAGACAGAGGTCGTCGTCACGGCCTGATCAGTGCAGTTGTGGCAGCATGTTCTTCTGGAGAAAAAGCAACAAGCCCCTTGCGACCATCCAAGTGGAGACCTGGAGCTGTAGCTTCTGCCCGTTGCTCTTGAAACACCGGAGTTCGGGATCAGGTTGGGGATTTTGGCAACAGTCCTCGAGGGAAGCCTGGGGTTTGCTCAAGAAGTCTTCGCCAAAGTTCAGCACGTGTTACTAGGGTAAATTTCGACTTTGCCTGAACACAGCCTTAGGGTCGGAAACGGCCCGGAAACAACTTCGGTGAGCCAGTTGGCAGGGAACAATGCCCTAAACGCCGGACGCAGGCTGGGCGGCCGACATCGCCATCAGAACTTGTGGCGCGACTTTCTTTGAGAGCTCATCCGAAAAGTGCGGTGCAGCATCAGTACCAGTAGCTACATGAATAGTTTTGCAGTAGCCGTCGTCGCCATAGCAGTCGTGGCGGCAGGGCCATGGTTTTGGGTTTCTTTCTCAATGCTCTTGTTGCTCTTTGCAAGCGGTTCATTGCCGTGCATGGGATCGCTGCGGTTCATTTGATCTGTCCTGCCTGCGGCTCGTCCCCAGCAATCGCCTGGGAGCTCATGCTGTCCATGGTGAGTAATCAGAGGAATGATCATCGCAATCGTGGGTAACAAGTTGTTGCAAGGAGGTCCTTCAACCAGCATCCCTAGTGGGATCAGGCCATCTGAAACGCGTGTGTTTGTGTGGGTGTGTGGATCTTCTGTATATCCTTGGCCACTGCTTTTTGCAGACGATGGCAGGGAAGGAGTGGGGCACGGTTCAACGCGCTCCTACGGTCCTACGTAAGAGTTCGGACTGCGCCAATGCCAAGAAGCATTGATCAGCCTCGGTCTCGTTTGTGTATGAGTTTTGATATTTGCTGTGCCAACTGAACCGGGCTTGCGAAGGCGGAAGTGCTCTGAATATTTGCAATGCTTGCAGGAGGCTTCCAGCGATGCTACCCTTGCGGCCACCCGTGTCGAGGCTAGCAGCACCTGTCAGATCCTGTCGAGCTGAACTGTGCTGAGCAGGAACGGGGAGCAGACTAGGTGTAGGTTTGGGCGTCATTGGTTTCGCAGCAGGCCGCGATCGCGGTCACCCGAACACGAATGTGCCAACACCGCTTCCTGTTGCATGGTTTCTGTGTCTGGTCATCTCTGCACTCCTGGCCTCTCGTGCGATTCTGTCTCGGGAGACGGCCGTGCCTGCACCACACGGCGCGGGGCAGTCTTGGGGTCCTGCTGTTTTCCTATACCCCACAGCCGGCGAACTGTAGCCTGTAGCCGGCAGCATCGAAGCATAGCATAGGTAGCTTACAAAACCAGCTAGAAATGTTGATTGCCACTGGCAGACTAAAGGAGTAGCGGCAGCGAGCGTTGCAAACAGCATCCTTGCTTTTTCGATATCCATATTTATTTTCTTAATACTGTCTATGGCCATGCCTATATATGCGTATGTGACATACATACATATATATATATATACATACATACATACATACATACATACATACATACATATACACACAGGCGCACGCGCATAGACAGACAGATTGAGATAAAGGGAATCGCTACATTGACCTCCATCATAGCTCGATGTCCGCTGAGCAGTCATGAAGGTAGACAGCTTGGCTTTTCCACCTCCGCAGTTTTCCATGACCTTGACCTTTGCCTGCTCGTGCCGGGCATACCGATTTTTACGTGCACTGTAACCTAATGTTCAGGCATACATTCCCGAGAGATTGACGGTTGTGAGGCCCAAAGCTACCTTGCCGCCCCATCTTCAACCAACATGCAAAGCCAGGTCGATCAAAGGACGTGTAGGCTTGAGGAAAGACCTCGGTGGGAACACCTACGGATCAGAGCCCACTGACTCTCATAAAGGCCTCTAAACCCCTGGGCTCTAGGCACTCGTCGCACGTTAATTGCGGGTGTGCGAGCCTGTGAGGAAAGGGGTGATTCGACCTTGTGAGCGATGTTTGGTCCACTGAACAATAAGTGACTTACCATACTGGGATCTCAAGATGTCTAGATAATCCCCAAAGCCTGTTGAAATGCCAAATGGTACAGGTGCCGATTTCGGCCGTTCCTTCCTTTGCACAGCCACAGGTGCCAGGGATGGGGCTGGCTACAGCATGCACTTGGACTAGGAAACCAGATGTTCATACACATAGTCGACTTCAGCCAAGTTCGTTTCATCTTGTCCAGTGTCCTGTTCTGCCTGAACTTCCGAGCTCTTGCTCGTGTCGTGGCTTTCTGTCTTCTCTCCCTGCCACAACTCCACAGCACGACATGGAAGACATGCGCTAACAGCAATGTACAGACGACAGTATAACTGTTGTAAATGTGTGTCTGTGTGCATACATGCAGGAGTAAGCAACATGTGCATGTGTGTGTGTATATATATATATATGTATACAGCTCCGTAGGTCTGCATTCATGTCTGCATGTATGTACATGTACATGTTGCAAAATACGTGCACATCTGTAAGTGTGCATGTAGACAGATGTGCTTGTGTGCATGTAATCATACATGCGTGCATGGATTTACGTATCCAGGTGTGCCTGGAGTGGTAGGTATCGTACCTAGTAGTAGGCCAGGCATGGTCGGCATGGTGTGTAGCACGATACGTATGCCAGGCACGGTCTGTCTGGCATGTAATGTATGTAACGTAAACGTTTGCAATGTAGATCTGTAAGGTTTGTAGTACCGTATGTGAAAGTGTGTGTATGCACGTGTGTATGTATGTACGTATGTATGTATGTATGTATGTATGTATGTGGAATGGAACGATACGTATGTGTGTGTATGTACGTACGTATGTATAAAGGTAGGTAGGCAGGCAGGCAGGCAGGCAGGCAGGTAGGTAGGAATGTAGACATGAATACATAGCGCACACGCACAGACACAGGCTGACAGTTTCTAAATGTGTGGAGAGCGGCTGAGGCCCAGCAATGACAGACTCGCAAGTGCAAATGCCTAGCCTTGCAGCCCGCGTTTGTTTTGGCTCTTGGAGTTTGTAGATCGCGGTGCGAACTGTAGTATTTCTTCAAGGGTTCATTTGTATACTTATACCTTGCCTGACATCTCTACTATAAGAATGTACTGAGGGTGCTGGGATGCTGGAGGATGTGAGGATTGCAGTGATCCCTTGACGAGGGCTCAAACTGGAGAGTCTGAGGCTAAAGGCTCGAGGCTGGTCACTGCAAAAAGACCTTTTCAGTCCATTGGCTAATCCGAGCATTCACAAGCCCGTATATCTATAAGTGCAAATGTTAATGATATGCACTGTATATGTGTATATATATATATGTTAATATATATATATATATAATGCATGCATGCATACATACATACAGCAAGAGAGAGAGAGAGAGAGAG